TGCAAAAATATATACAATTTTGAAAATTTTCAAAAATTTCGAACATTTCGAACATTTCGAACATCTCGAACAATTCGAATTCGAACAATTCGAACAATTCGAACATTTCCGAACCGAACACGAACCGACCATTCACGAACAATTTCGAACACGAGCCTATTTCAAACAAACTATATTTCAAACGAACCGAACACGAACACGACCGTTGTTCGTTCGTGTTCGGTTCGTTTACACCCCTACTGATGAGAAGCTCACATTTAACTAGATCGTTAGGCAAGCCGAAATAGAACAAATATTAAGCAAGCCGAAATAGAACATATATTTCGGTACATTTTTCAATAAAGTTTACATGGGGTCATTTGAGCTCTAGAGTCTATAAAAATACCAATTTAGTTCCTAAATTTTATAAATTGGAGCTGAAATAATCCTCCGTAAAAATATAAGCACCGCACATGAGCCTAACAAAAATTAAAACAAACCAAACACGAGCATAGGTTTCAAGACGTGATCTAATGCAAGCCGAGCTCGAACGTAGCAAAAAATCAAACAATCAAGGCTCAAACATAAGACAACTCACTCAAACTCGGCACGTTTATTCATTGCTACCTCAAGCAAATAGAGTTTATCAGGTTGAGTTGATTTCCAATTTTTATAACCTACATGAGTTCTTAGAAACTTTGATTGATCAATCAATAACTTTGTCATAAAAGATATGCCAAGTGCATAAGAGGCAATCATCAATTTGGGATTTAAGAATGAGTTGATTTATTTATCCTTGACTATACAATATTGAGTTATTTGCAATATTAGTCAAAACCATGCAGACCCTATTAAAATAAAGGAGCATTTACGTACATACCATTCAATTCTTATGTATTTATAAATCTAACACCAAAAACTAACTTTTTACATTTATACCGCTCAGATCTTTCATATCACATAAAATATATCGCTATTTTAACTTCTAAAAAGTGAATTACACTTTTAAATGGTAAAGTGGCATATATGTAAACTTGAACTTTGGACGTTTAAGAATTGATTGGTATGCATGTAAATTTTCCTAAAATTAAATAAAATAAAACAAAACAATGCAAAGCATTACCTCAAATGTTGCAAACATATCTCCAACGCACTTTCGTGGCCCTCCACCAAATGGAAGATAGCTGAAAATTTAGCATTAGTTTGCGTCAGTAGCTTACAATACTATAGCTAAAAAATGCTTTGAAAAAACAAAGTAGATAACATAATTTATCATCAAACTTTCATCATTTTCAGTTATTATGCTACAAACCTAATGAGATTCTCACAAAACACGTGTTGCTCCATGCATGATAACAATAATCGCAAATCTACCCATAATAGAAAAACCTTACCCAGAGAATAAGTTCCCTCAATTAATTGGAAACTTCTGGCATTTTCTGTCCCAACAAATAAAGACTAAAGCTGAAACATCTCGTTTAATTATAGAAATCATTTTGATGATTTCAAACATTTCGAAAGAAATAAAAAACCAAAAGAAGATTTAATATCATGTTCTAGAAACCTTTTCGAAGTTTGAATATAATTTTAAACATGCTGCAAGAACTCAAAGCAAAAGAAGGACCTATTAACAGTGAAAGTGTCTGTTTTAGGCGTTCTTTAGCTGCAACAAGGATTTATGCTAAACAAGATTTATCAAATACAACAAATTTGATTGCTGTGTTGATGGATAAGAACCTCGGGAGCGACACCGGGATGACATCTGTAATCTGTCTCTCGATTGGATTTATTAAATCCGGATTTACGTTGCAAAAGAGATGGAATGTGAGATTTAGAGAACAAACGTGAAAAAATTTTATTTAACGGAGCATTGGATTTAATTTTTATTTTTATTTTTTGGTGTTTGGGAATTAAGTTAAATTCATGGCTAAATCCTATTAAAAGTATGTTGTCAAACACCCCTTTAGTGTGCACATACACATACACACTTCTATAAGCACACATAAGTATAGTAAAGCAATTACTTAAGTGGTTGAGCAGAGATCGATTAAGAGTTAGCAAATTAGCACCTTACTCGGAAGAAAAGATTTGGAAGAAGTGTTTAGTTGTGGAGTCTGATAGTAGCACCCATGAGCAGCTGGCTGGCTAGCTTCCCTGCAGTTAGTGCACCCGGCACCAAGGCATCGGCTATGGGCGCTTAAGCGCCAATTCAGTGTTCCCAGCTCGAGAAGGTGGAAGTCCTGCGCCAAAAGTGGGCGCTTAGATGCCCACTTGCACTGGGGCGCTTGTTTTCGGAGAACTGTTATTTATATCACGATTTCGGGCAGCGTATGTGCGAGCTTGGAGCATAACTCTTCTTGTTTGTTCATTAACAAAATCCTTGTGATGTGAGAAGTGTTGGTGAGAAAGATTCTGGTGTTTTAGACGTAAGTTTTAGCATCGGATCAGTAGGAAGTGTGTAGAGTGGTGTACTATAAGTTTCTTCGTGTGAGTGTGAAAAAGAAACTTGTGTGAATCTTTTTATAAAACTCTCTGAAATTCATAGTGAAATTTGTGGTTGTATGGCTCCGTGATCTTTTCCCGTTCTCGAGTTTTTCTACGTAAAATTTATGTGTTCTTTTGAGGTTATTTTTTATTGTGCTTCTAGTTTAAAATGATTGTTCTGATTTTCTAGAATCATGTGATTTTATTTCGCTGTGACATTGAGAATTGTTTGGAGGATTCCCAACAAAAACTGTATCAGAGCGGGTTTGATGCGAGTGAGAGTAATGGTAGGAGAAGCAAGGTTCAAGGTGAAGAAGTTTAATGGAACAAACTTCTCTTTCTGGAAAAAACAGGTATAGGATTTGTTGTATCAAAAAATATTTTACTTGTCACTACGGAATCACAAAGAAACTTGAGTACATTCCTATGGAGAAATGGAAAATTTGGATCGAACGACACTGGGTTTGATCAGGTTAACAATTTCCCCGTATGTTGCGTTCAGCATTGTGAATGAGAAAATAACAACAGAACGCATGGCACATTGGCCAAGACGTATGAAAAACCTTTTACTTCCAATATGGTAGAAGGTTTTTCTGATGAAGAAATTATTCAACATGAAGATGGTGTAAGCAATTTAGTGCGAGGGCATCTCAATAACTTCAATACTGTGATGAGTCAGTTGTGTTCTATGGGGATCAAGTTTGATGATGAGGTCAGAGCACTGGTCAAACTATCTTCTTTACCAGAAGACTATGATGCTTTCATAACTGCAGTGATTAATTTTTCATGGACTTCTAAATTGAACTTCGATGATATCGTGGGTCTGATACTGAATGAAGAAGTTCACAGAAAAACAATGAATGAAGAATCTCAAAGTTCTACACTAAATGCAGATAACAGGGGAAGAAACCTAGGCAGGAATACAGACAGAGGCATATCAAAGTCAAAAAAAGGAAAGCCCAAGTCAAGCAGAGGAAATGTTGGAACTACGGTAAGAATGGGCATGGGCATTTCAAGAAGGACTGCAAAACTCCAAAGAAAGCTGATGTTGGAGGACAGGAAGTAGTTTCTCTACTAATTTCTCAAGTAAAATTCAAAATGATTTCCTTGTATTATCCCTAGTTAGCACTGAATCCTGAATAGTGGATTCAGATGAATCCTGGATAGTGGAATCAGGCGCCTCTTTTTATGCTTGCCCAAATGAAGAGAGATTCAAAAACTACACTAAGAGTGATCTACGAAAGGTTTATTTGGGAAATAACAAGGCCTGCAGTATAATTGGAAAGGGTAATGTTGATATCAAGTTGTCGAATGGAACAGTCTGAAAGCTTATTGATGTCAGACAAGTTCCAAGTTTGAAGAGAAATCTAATATTTGTGAGTCAGCTGACAAAGTCAAGACACGTGACAATTTCACAGATGATTCATAGAAAGTGACCAAGAAGGCATTAGGGATGGCTCGGGGCAACATTAAATGCACCATTTATCTGATCAATGAAATGGTTGATTTCATTGATGTGCTTGGAACCAAGACAGATACAGGTTTGTGGCACCATAGGCTTGACTATATGAGCGAGAAAGGTGTGAAGTCCCTACTTTCAAAGAATAAGCTTCAGTGTTTGAAATCATTTAATCTGGATTTATGTGAAGACTGTATTTATGACAAGCAGAAGAAAGTTTTTTCTCCAAAAGCAAATCAATGGTGAAATCAAAGAAACTGGAGTTAGTGCATACTGATGTATGAGATCCTACTCCAATTCAGTCAATTGAAGGTTATCGTTATTTTTTCACATTCATTGATGATCACAGTAGAAATGTATGAGTTTATTTCTTAAATTAGAAATCTAATATATTTGAAGGCTAGGGTATAAAAAAAGACAAACTTGAAACTGAAGTGTCTCAGATCAGATAATGGAGGTGAGTACTATGATTAGAAGTTCATAAATTTTTGTACTACAGAGGGGGTAAGGCATGAGTTCATTGTCCCAAGGATACCGCAGTTGAAAGATTTGGCTGAGCGCATGAATAGAACAATCAAGGAGCATGCTAGGAACATGATGTTGCATGCAGGCTTACCGAAACAGTTTTAGACTAAAGCAGTTAACATTGCAGTTTATCTGATTAATTGTAGTCCGTCAGTAACTTTGGGGAAGGCTTGAAGAAGCTTGAAGTGATAAAAAGGTATTTCTATCTCATGAAAGAGTACTTGATTGTTCTACATATGTGCATATTGATGCAGGTTCTAGAAGCAAGCTTGACTCAAAATCTATCAAGTGCTTGAATGCGGCTCATATGAGTTTGGGTACAGTTTCTAGGATTATCAAAATCAGAAATTCATCAGGAGTAGGGATTTCACTTTCAACCAGATGGAGATGTACAAGGACAGGTTAGAACTCGGGACAGACAGCTATTTTTTAAGAATCCAGATATGTGGAGATAGATGATACTGGCGATTAGGATGATGGAGAATGAAGAAGTGTTCAACCAGAAGGGGCAGTGAAAGTTCCTCAGACACCTGCTATAGAAGTCAGGAGATCCAACAAAGTGAAACAACTCATACAAAGGTATTATCCTTCTTTAGACTATTTGTTACTAATTGATAGTAGTGAACCAGAGTGCTTTGAGAAGACTTCTCAAGTTGAAGATTCAAGGGAGTGAGAGCTCGCCATGGATGAAGGAATACAATTTTTGGAGACAAATTAGACTTGGGATTTAATGGTACTACTGGCTGAAGGAGGAGTCGGATGGTACAAAGTTCTACAAAACAAGACTTGTTGTAAAGGGTTTCCAGCATTAGGAAAAAGTAGATTATACAGAGATCTTATGATTGTCAGGGTTGTGCTGAGTCTGGTAGCAGTGGAAGATATACATCTGGAGCATATGGATGTAAAGAAAACTTTCTTATATGGAGATCTAGAGGATGAGTTATACATAGTGCAGCCACCATGTTACAAGGTTCTAGGCGAAGAAGATTTAGTCTACATATTGAAGAAGAGTCTCTACAGCTTGAAGCAGACCGCAAGACAGTGGTATAAGAGATTTGACACATTTATGTCAGAAAAATGGTACTTGTAGTGTGAGGCAGACCATTGTTGCTTCATCTAACGCTTTGGTGACTGCTATATTCTATTTCTTTTTTATATAGATGACATGTTGATTGCACGTGCAGATATGGAGAAGATCAGGGACTTAAAAAATCAGTTATCAAGTGAGATCGGATAAAATATTTAGGTCCAACCAAAAAAATCATTGGGATGCGGAAACATTGAAGTTGTCTCGAGAAGAGTATATTGAAAAGATTTTATAGAAGTTCAGCATAAGTGAGACGAAACCAGTTAGCACTCTCTTAGGTAGTCGCTTCCAACTATCTAAGGAGCTATCGTCAAACTCTGAAGCAAAGCAAGCACAGATTGAAAGAACTTTGTATGCTTCAGCAATTGGAAGTTTGATGTATGCAATGATTTGTAACAGGCCAGATAAATATGCAGTGGGAGTAGTCAGCAGGTACATGGGCAATCCAGGCAGACCCATTAGAAGGCGGTAAAGTGGATTCTCAGGTACTTGAGAGGAACAGTGAACAGGGCATTATGTTATGGAAATATAGGGATCAATCCACAGGGATTCGTAAATTCATATCTTTCAAGAGATGTAGATGGTAGAAGTACGATGGGATATGTTTTCACATTGGGAAGCTCAGTGGA